CTAGAAAGCAATGAAAATGGATCCTCCGGAAAGCAAGGAGGCTCACCAACTGACTCTGAGTGCTTAACCTGATCAACGATGCGCTGGGTGCTGACCTTGGTTATACCTGCGTCTGCATCATAATATGATGCAGACCAACTGGGATCAGTACATTGAATGTACGAGTATGCGAGTTGGAATGCTAAAACAAGAAATAGGTTTGAAAGGATTCTGAAAGAAACACTTACCTTGGCTCTTCTCAACTCATGAATACTTAACTGAACTCATTTTATTATAAAGCAGTTTAAAACAAGTGCAATATAAAGAAAAAGGAAAATTGTTTAAAACATGATGTCAACTCAAGACCATAATATCATAAAAGACATACCATGCTTCCTCTCAAAGTCTACTTGTGCAATGCATGAATGAAGTCCCATACCCCCATTCATACTAAGCAGAACCCCTTGAGGAACCATGCAATTACTGCTGTGGGAGTTTCTCTAACTGAAAACCACCACTATGAAATTTTTTAGAAGTCCCATACCCCCATTCATACTAAGTGTATGTGTGTGTGATGAGTATTAAATAGTTGAGGGTTCTAAACTTTATCAATTCATAAGGCTCAAATATTTTAGAAAGAGCAACCAATCTTGAGAAGATATTTATATCAATGAAAAATTGATAATGTTATCTTGGAGAACATATATGGAGAAAATTTATCAAATAATACTACTTTGTTGTTTTCCTTGAGATATGTCACCATGCAATTTTTTCTATACTCTATTTTAGGAGATGTTGATCATTTTAATCAAGTTACATTTAGATTATTAATATTTATCTCATTTACAAATTTACTTTTTATGTTTATTTAATGATCATATATTTTTAAAATTCCATATCCTAAATTCAATTAAAATCATTTTGACAACGGAAAGCACGAATAAATTTATTGATTACATAAATATATATATATATATATATATATATATTTATAATCAAATTTAATATGTATAGTATGGTGTGTGTGTGAGAGAGAGAGATTAATATTAAATAGTTGAGGTTCCAGAATTTTTATCAACTCAAAAATAAAAAACAACAATGCTCTAATACATAAGAAAGATTAATAAACCTTGAGAAACTAATTATGTCAATAAGATCATGATAACGTTAATTTCGAATAACATAGAAAGAAAACTTATTACGGTGTCACGATCCAACCCACCGAGTCGTGCGGAAACCTACTCTAACACCTAGATAGGAAAACTTTTACCACGCAAGGTTAAAACAGGCAATACGAAAATAAACAAAATATTGCAAAGTTCATTTAATACCTTAAATATATTTCATACCATTTTTCAATTATAAATATAACCTAGGTCCTGGATTTTTGGTGATTGGATCACTTTGGGTCTTGCTCTTTAATTAGCCTTTAATTAATTAGGTTTAAAATTAATAGATACTTTGTCAAACAATACGACGAAATCTATGTAAGCATTCACATTAAATGTTTAAGATCAAACAATACGACAACAAGATTTTATATTCTTGACTTCTTTATGAAGAATTGAAGTACTTCTTCAAGAACATACTTGCGAAAGAAATATTTTAATAATAGTACATTTTGAAATGATATTTTAAAAGTAATTTTTTTTTTAATTAACTAAATCGTACTAATAATGAAGAGAAACTAATAGTCCGATATGACTAGGATGATTTTAGAAAATCTAATTTTTGTTATATAATATAAAATACCCAAAAAAATTTGAGATGATATATATATATTTTTTAAATAACTGATTGTCCCATTGACTCCCCTACATTATATCATAATATTAAAATTTATCTATTAATTTAGAAAATCTATTATATTATATCACTTTCTTAGTTGGCAAATTTACTTTCCAAGTCTCCCACCAGATGATATAATTTTTTTTAAATAACCGACCGTCTTATTGATACCCCTACATTATATCATAATATTAAGATTTATCTATTAATTTGGACAATCTATTATATTAAATCACTTTCCTAGTTGACAAATTTACTTTCCAAGTCCCCAATCCCCACCCCACCTCCAACCCTTTATATGTTTCCCTCTCATTTTGTAATCCTTCTATCTGTTAGAAGCATCTGCAGAACTCCTAAGCAGAAAAAACATTCAACTTATCCTCTCAAAATCTCCAAATTCTTTTTAATGTTCAAATCTTTACAAAGAAAGACACAAAATTTGATTCTTCTTCTGGATTTCATTTTCAAAGAAAAAAATCATTTTTTGTATCTATTGTTTTTCTCATTATTTCAAAGTATACCCTTTTCTTGAAATTCCTAAAAATCATTCTTTTACATTTTAATTTGAATTTTCAAAAAAAAATTATCTACCAGAAACCCTTTATGAACCTAGAGTTCTCATACCTCCACTCTTGATTTCTCTCTAGTTTTTGTTGTTTTCTTACTTCTCAATGAAAAAAATAAATACAGAGAATGGACAAACATCACTTGATCATGATGCTTTGAAATCCCAAGAAATTGGAAAAAACAATGTTGATTTTTCATTAGTAAAAATTGAAGTTGAAGAAGAATCAAAAGAAAAAGATTCAGGTTTGAATGAATGGTCACCTATTCGGGTTGAATCCAATTCATTGATCATTAGTGTTGATTCTGATTCAATGGGCTATATTGTTTCTTCTGATAGTAATGAGCTTTCATATTCGGGTTGGGCTGAATGGTCTCCTTTGACAGTTGTACCTATTTCTTCAATTGAGCCCAAAAATTTCAAAGAGACAGCTGAAGAAACTAGGCCTATTGAGAATAAGCCTTCTAAAATGGTGGTATGATTCCAACTTTTAACCTCTTTTAAGTTATACAATTTACAATTTTAGCCTATGTTATGACATTTTAATCCTTAATCAATCAACTATTAAGTGAAATGACGCGGGTTAGCCACTTTTAATCTATTTCAAGTGATACAATTTATAATTTTAGCCTATTCATATGATATCTTTATCAATCAACTTGGCCTATTCTTATGACATCTTTATCAATCAACTATATAGATAAATAGTGCAGGCTAACCATTTTTCATATCTTTTCGAGTGATACAATTTACTGTGAAATAACATGGGCTAACCATTTTTAACTCTTTCAAGTGATACAACTTATACTTTTAGCCTATTTTTATTACATTTTAATCAATCAACTATTGTAGTAAATTAGCCAGGTCTAGCCCCTTTTAAGTTTTTCCAAATGATACAATTTTAGCCTATTTTTATGACATCTTAATCGATAATCTATTGTAGTAAATTAGCAAGGGCTAGCCACTTTTATGTTATTTCAAATGATACAATTTTAGCTTATTTTTATGGCATCTTAATCAATCAACTATCTAGTAAAATATATAGGGTGGGGCCTAACCACTTTTCAGCTCGACAACTGAGAACTAGCTAGTCACTATTATAATAAAATTTTCAATTGACAAAATAGCCACTTTTAAGTGTGGGGTTAACCAATATTAGGTAGATATTGAGATATCATACATTACTAAGCAATCTCTATTGTGTGTATTCTATATATTAACTCTTGTTGTTTCTGGTGCTTATGTTATTGTCTGTTTTTAGGGACTTGGCATGTGTAACTTAGGCAACACATGTTTTCTAAATGCGGTTGTGCAATCTTTTATGCACACCGTAGTGTTTCTTGAGCTACTTGCATCGATTGATCATGTATCGCCATGCGATAGTAAGTATTAACTTAGAATTTCTTTTTATTCTGATCCATTTTGAATGATTTTTACCTTAGTTGATTCATGTCATTTCTTGTTGCAGATCACACAGTCGGATTTTGTGTAGTTTGCATGATCCGAGATCTAGTTGACCTTTCTATGGCTGGTGCCTTTGATTATGTCTCGCCGAAAAAAATTGTTAGCCACTTGAGAGGTATGTTTTATCATATCTTGTTTGTGATTTAACATGAGAGATATCACTCATCTTGCGCACACACATGGAAATGGGTGGATTAACGTAAACATATGCTCCCGTCTCTAAACCATTTATAGTTAACCCTAGTAATTTATTTATTTCATTTTGAAGTTTACTTTAGTTTTAAATCAAGAATTGAAATAACATTCTCATCAATGAAGTACATGAAAAATAATTTGCGTAATAGGATCATTTTTAAAGTACAAAAACTCATCGAGGACAATTGTAAAATAGTTATTGTAACGACCCTAAAAACGAACTAGTGAAACTAGAGCCTCACATGTGAGTTTGGAGTCGAGAACTTAATGAAATGGTTATATTTGAATTTGACCCAAAAAGTTCTTAAAAATGTGCTTCGGAAATTACCGGAAACTTGTTTAGCTGTATATAGAAAGATCCATTTCGTTTTTCGAAAATCCGACTTCATATTCTTGTTTAGGGGGTCAAATTGAGTGGGAAATGGGTCTAACCCAAATTTTAGAGCAACCGTATCAAAATCCGAAATTTCCAAGTGAAGCCTTTTTCGAGGGTCTACTTTGGAGGGTCATATCTCCTAGCACACAAATTATTTGGGTGGCCAATAATATATCCATGGAAATCCCTTTGAGTTAGCTACCTAACGCACTTCGTTTCACCTCATTCGGAGTTCGGACGAAGAAGTTATGCCCATTTTCGTAAAATCTGTTCGGCAGGAAAAGGCAATTTCCAGAGGCGTGGTTACTGTTCACCCGCCCCATTTTTTTTCTT